AACTTTTTTGACCCTTGTTCCATTGCCTGAAAATTGCATTGCACATCATCATTTTTTAGCTTACATCTAGCTGACTTTTTTTGTCCATTTTCTTCTTCAAACTCAAATATATTTTCCAGATCATTTTTCAAAAAGCGACTATCGATTATAGGTGATTGACACAAATTTTGGTTAGAAGTCATATCCGGACCTAATTTAATTTTAATTAAAAATTTAAATTTTGTTAAGAGTAATGTATTGCTTTTTAAATTAAAAATTATATTATTTAAAAAATTCTCATAAGAATCTTACCTTTGATGTGCGATTACGAATTTACGATTGCAGAAAAAAAGATTAGTGAAAAAGTCAACTGGTGTTTACAAATGGCGTATAAAAGGAAGCCATTGCTTTGCTATGAAAGATTCTAAATATCATAACAAAAAAAATTTTTTGAGTTGAACTAAAAGATACAAAATATTAAAAAATAATATTTTTTTTATTTTTTAACTAAATATTTTTTTTTATTATTAGAGCATGGAGCACTTAAAATTTGTGTGCTCCGGCTCCGCTCACGCTCCGACCAGAATATGGTTGCTCCGATTGCTCCGCGCTCCAGCTCCGCTACAAAGCCCTGATCAGAACTACTTTGAGAATCTTCATTGTCACTTGAGTCATTAGAACTTTCTTCAAAACTGTCTTTTTGTTCTAGTTTATCATTAACTTTTCCAGCAATTTTTCGTTTTGATGGGTGAATTGTACTCTGACTGGCATTTTTTGTTGTTGCATATCCTGTCTTACCTCTACTCTGAATTTGAATTTGGTAAAATTTTTTGTCTTCTGCACATAGCCATTGACCAGTTTTGTTTGTGACATCAAACAACTTATCAAATTGCTCACGCATGTCACCAACAGGTTTTTTCAAATGTGTATCATACTTTTTAAGTAAAGTTTCAATTTTTCTGCCTACTGAACGCAAAGATAGTATTGGAAAATTTAACAAACTCCACAATTGCTCTATTTCTTGTCTGAGTGTTGTAATTCTTTTTAATCTAGACTTTTCAGTAGAGTAGCGACCAATTATCATCCACTCTTTTAGCATTCTGGAATGTGAATACAAAGGTTTGATCCCAATGCTGATTTTGTTTTGAAATTTTTTCAAATTACTTGACCATTTGTCTTTATTTTTAGTAACAGAAAGTGAAGATTGTTTATAAACATTTTCCAAAATGAAACGATGGAAAATTAAAATAATTGTTTAAACTGGATTAAAATGCAGAAACACAACATGGAAAACAGAAAAATGAAATTTAATTGTAAACAATAAGATTAAAAGTGAACTTAAGAAAAACGAAAAAAATGGTTTATTTGCAAACTAAAAAATCTGTTGGTGGGTGAACTTCTTCAACAAAAATAATGAATTTTCGCTATATTTATTATTTTTATATAAAAGTTCATCAAACTTTGGCATGCCGATTTCAATTTTACAAAATTTGTTTTTGAAGTCATATACCTAATATATATATATATACTATATCATATATATATATATATATGATATATATATATATATATATGATATAGTATATATATATATATATATATATGATATAATATATACATACTGTATCATAAATATATATATATATATATATGTATATATATATATATATATATCATATATATATCATATATATATATATATCGTATATATATATATATATATATATATATGATATAGTCTATATATATATATACTATATCAGTATAATTTGATTATGTTAATTTATACAATAAATATACATAATTTATATATTTTTTTTCAGACAAAACGTTAAATATCGAAACAGTAAAATCGTTTGACACTTATGAAGATGGTTTGTTGAATTCCAGTTTTTGGTTATAATTAACGATTACTGAATTATTTTTTTAAAACCTCATCATTTCTTTTCATGCTAATTTTTTTTCTGTAATGTTTTTATGCGTAGTTTTTATTTTTATTTTATACAATACAAAACTAACAAAATATAAAATATGTGAGGACCAATACATCATACAATCAATAGTCAAAGAAATCATCAATCATAATATTAATAACACCATAATTTATACAGGTGGATCAAATATAGATCATTTAACAACAGCAGCAGCTATAATAGATAAAACAAAAATAGCCATACATTTGCCTGATGACACTTCAATTTTCACTGCCGAGCTTCAGGCAATCAATTAAAGCATTAGATTACATGAAAGATGAAATTAACAAATCGTTTATAATATTGACTGATTCTTTATCAGGTGTACAATCACTAAAACAATATACAAGTAACAATAGCCTTGTTAATACAATAAAAATTAAAATTCATAACATTGTACAAAATAACTGCCATATTAAAATAATCTGGATACCAAGTCACATAGGTATTCTTGGTACTGAAAGGGCCGATCAATTAGCTTTAACAGCCCACAATGAACCCATACTAAATACAGCAATGATTTACTCAGACATTAAATCAATAATAAATAAATATATATACACATTATGGCAAAATGAATGGAATGATTGCATAACACAATTAAGGCAAATAAAGCCATTGATCGAACAAAAGAGATGCAGAATATTTAACACCCGATTGGTATCCTCTAAAATAAACAGACTAAATGATTGGCCACACAAAATTAACACATGGATATATATTAAATAAGTCAGATCAAACATTATGTCAATATTGCGGACACAAATTAACAATCCAACATATTATAACTTGCGAGAACCCAATTACACATAGACATAAACATTTAATATATAAAGAGCTTTCAGAGAATTTTAAGAATAACAATAATATTATCAATGTAATACAATTTCTGAAGGATTGTAACTACTACGATATGATTTAAATATTTTTCCCATAGTATATCTCTTTCCCCACGTTCAGTGTAATAAACATTTTTCATATTATCTGAACTTCTATTTTCCCACATGGAAAAAGAAAATAATTTTTTCTTAATTTGGCAAACAATTGCACCACTTTGGGAGCATAAATGCCGTTAAATATGAACAACAACAAGAACAACATATTTTTATTTTTAGTTTAATTAATATACAACGGATTTTTGGCAAACTGCCATTTTTTTTGATGGCTTCAATATTTTTGTATGGTTTTTACATTTTTTTTTACATTACTAAGACTTTTTTTATGTTGACACCATTTCGAAATGACGACATGTATGGCTTTAGTTGTAAACCAGGAACATACTCTAAATGACTTTATGCGTTTCTTCGGATATACATATTATAGCTCAATGTTGGATCACTGACTGGCCGCAGCATGGAAATCGCAGAAATGCTCGAGCGTAGAAGGATTGACATCTGCTGCCTTCAGGAAATGTGTGTCTGTCTGGTCAACTCAAACAAAGAAAAATATAAACTATTCTGGAATGGTCAAAAGACGGCCAAAAATGGTGTTGGAATTTTTGTCAGAGAACCGCTAGCACAAGAAGTACTAGATATTAGAAGGATATATGTGGATCAAGCTTCGTATAGAAAACCAAACAATGATTATTTTTTCTGCATACGCACCACAGACAGCCGAATCAGAAGAGATGAAAAATGACTTCTGGACTGCATTCTCTGACACCATCTCAACAATACCAAAATCTGAAACAATCCTGATTGGAGGCGATCTCAATGGCCACGTTGGAGAGAAAACAGACGGTTTTGACAACGTACATGGCGGTTTTGGCTATGGAAAACAGAATGAAGATGGCAACCGCATCCTTGAGTTTGCTGAAAGTCACGGGTTTTGTTTACTGAACATATATTTTAGAAAGAGGTTGGAACATCTCATAACATACAAAAGTGGACCATCAGTCACGCAAATTGATTTCTTCGCTGTCAAGCAACAACACCGAAGGCTATTCAAAAACGTTAAAGTTATACCTGGCGAATCATGTGTCGCCCAACATAGACTCCTTGTGGCAGACCTGATTGTCGAACTGTCAAAACATAAGTCTAAACAAATGCCTCTGAGAATCAAAACGTGGAAGCTGAAAAGCAATATTCATCGAGAAAAATTTCAACAGATTGTCGCAACACAATCGTTAAACTTTAGACCACCAATCGCAAGCCAGTACAGATTGGAGTACATACAAATCTGTTTTGATGAAAGCTGCAACTACAGTTTGTGGGAAAACTGGTACAAAACGTCAGCATGAACGTGACACTTGATGGTGGAATGACAGTGTACAAAATGTAATAGCTGAAAAGAAAGTTGCATACAAGCAATGGCAAAAATCAAAGTCTGTTGATGATCATAAAATTTTCCGTGAGAACAACTATGCAAGACGTCAAGTTGCACTGGCTCGGACAGATCAGTGCAGAGAGTGGCTCACTAAAAGCAAAGATGAACAAATGAAATCTCTGTATCGTATAGCAAAACAAGCAAAGCGTAGGAAAAAAGACATAGTTGGTGCCTTATGTATAAAAAATGACAAAAATGAGATGGTTCTTGAACGAGATGAGATCAAGCTACAGTGGAGAGAATACTTCAACCGTCTGTTAAACGAAACAAATCAAATCAATGTTAACTTTGACGCTCCACCCATCGAAGGTCCGATTCCAGACATCACTGTAGAGGAGCTTACAGAAGTTCTGAAAGCTATGAAGGATGGAAAGGCAGCAGGGCCCTCTGGACTCACAAATGACATTATCAAAGCATCTGGTACTGCAGGTATCTAAACGTTACTACAACTTTGCCGTGAAATTTGGAGAAATTGCTCAATGCCGACTGAATGGAACTATAGCATGACAGAAGTTCTGAAAGCTATGAAGGATGGAAAGGCTGCAGGGCCCTCTGGACTCACAAATGACATTATCAAAGCATCTGGTACTGCAGGTATCTAAACGTTACTACAACTTTGCCGTGAAATTTGGAGAAATTGCTCAATGCCGACTGAATGGAACTATAGCATGACAGTTCCTCTATACAAAGGCTAAGGTGATCCATTGAAGTGTTCATATCGGGGTGTACGTCTGTTAGAACACTCCCTGAAAATTGTCGAGAAAATCATTGAGAGAAGATCAACGGAAATTATCAATTTGGTTTTCTAGCGGGGAAATCAACAATTGATGCAATTCACATCCTTCGGCAACTGCAAGAGTATCTCGCAAAGCATCAACAACTATCACACAATTTTGTAGACCTTGAAAAAGCATTTGATCAAGTTCCCTGTGAACAATCAGGTGGAATCTACGTCGACAACTCATTCCAGAATATCTTGTTCGACTTGTGATGGAAATGTATACGAATACTAAGACTCTTGTCAGCTCAACGATTGGAAACACAGATACATTTGACATCGGCGTTGGAGTTCACCAAGGCTCGATTCCCATTCCACTGTTATTTATAACTGTGATGGAAGAAATCACAAAACCAATACACACTGGTGACATTTGGAATCTAATATATGCTGATGATATCGTTTTAACAGCCACGTCTGAGCAGAATGCAGCAAAGATGTTTGAAGATTGGAACACCAGACTCGCCGATCATGGATTCAAAGTCAACATCAGCAAAACCAAAGCAATGAACACTGGTGAATCCATCCAATCCACAGCTACTGGACGATGGCCCTGTTCAGTTTGTAAAGCTGGTGTAGGTAAGAATTCAATCAAGTGTCAGCAGTGTAACCAGTGGTGTCACAAACGTTGTTCAAAAATAATTGGTTCTTTATCTAAAGTGTCCAATTTTGTTTGTCCTGCTTGCATCAATCCACAACAACAAATTCGAAATAGCAATGTTTTTGAAGCCATTAAGGTGGAGAAAGTCACATCGTTTCAATATCTAGGAGATGTTCTGGATTGTACAGGAACAGCTGAAGCTGCCGTTCGAGCACGCATACGTGCAGCCTGGAATAAATGGCATCTCCTTGCCTCTATATTGATGCGGCGTGACATCCCACTACCACTACGATCAAGACTTTATAAATCTGTGATACGTCCGGTGTTGTTATATGGTGCAGAAACATGGCCAATGACAACCAAACTGGAACAACAACTTCAACGAACCGACATGAAAATGCTCGATGGATGCAATGAATTAGTCCGAAGGACCACATCAAATCTACCGAAATCCTGCGTCGTGCTGGTTTAGATGATATAAAGGACGAATGCCGGCAACACCGTCTGCGGTGGTTTAGTCATGTCAAACGAAGTGGAAACAGTGCCATAACTTCTCTTGCAGATGTTGAAGTACCTGGCACACGTCCCAAAAGCCGTCTAAAGAAGCAAACAATCGAGCAAGACATGAAAGCTCTAAATTTAAATGAAATGGATACAACTGATCGTCTAATTTGGCGCAAAAAGTTGATGGCAAAGAAAACAACGTCCTACCTCGTGAAACCAGGTCTCTGGACGCTAAACAAAGATTGATTGGTTGATTGATTTTCGAATATGGTTGACGATGTCGAAAGATCGACAGGACAATTGGACTTTCTACATTTTCGACAGGACAGTTGGACTTTCTTCATTTTCCTCCGCCTAGTGACGAAAACGCTAATTGGCTGGTTTAATTTCTAGTAGTATCTGAAGATATTATCGGAAAAATTGTTTCGTCGTCACCTACGAAGTCGTTACCTACCAAGATTTTTAAAGAATTCATTTATTACTACATATTACTGCTGACAAGTATGATGAATGGAATGCAATTTGATGAAGTAAATCATTTTTACATGAGTAGTCTGAATAATTTCCATCCAGTATCAAATTTATCTTTTCTCTCTAAAATTATTAAATGTGTTATGAACATCATAAATGTTTTACTGCATCAAAATGCCGACGATTCAATCATACATTCTGTCACAACCGCGGGAACGATCGAATAGCGCTATATTATTTATTATGTTATATTTGTAATCATTAGCATAGAGTGTAAAGAAGCATTGTATCTATAGTTGTAAAACCGACTTACGAGCGAGACTTTGTCAGTAGAGGTTTTTAGTTGAGGTTTCAAGCCGAAAAAGCGAAATCGTAAATGTTATTTATGTTGTTATTTAGAATAGTTTATTGTTTCTATTACTGTCGGTATTCAAATAAACGTTCAACAAAATTTTCGTTTGAAGCAGTGTGTTCATCTATCGAAAATCTTGAATCTACGGCATCAATCACTGGTGTTGGAAATATAGAGATTATTGAAGTTAGGGTTAGGGGTTATAATAACGGTGCTGGTAGTTACGATGTCAAGAAGTTACAACTATACGTTTTAAAAACACCGTCGTTACAAATTGATTATTATGAGCTAGCATCGTCTGGGGGACTTGAACAACCATTTTTGTGTGGATTCTGAAATTGTCAAACGGTTACCTCAATGCATCCGCAATTTAAGTATTTCTAGGTATGATGTGGTGTGCGTCTTATTCCCAACTTTAAAAACGTAACCAATTAATAAATAACAGCAACACTACTACCTCTCTTAAAATTACCATCAGCACCACAACGTGATACACCAATACAACAAGAATTACACAATTCTTCAAAGACAAATGTCAATCGGTGCATGGATGTCATAATCATTATCAGCAATAAATGTAAAAATTGAAATCTCCTTATCTACAACATAATGAGCATTTAACAAGCCCACTTATAGAGTTTTGTTAGCAGTGGGTTGAGAACAAAGAAAACATTGAAATTTCTAAAATTTTAATTGGCCTTCAATCGAAATATTGTTATTGAGTTTAAGATTATCAGAATTAAAAAAAAGTAATTTTTAGAATATTCAACAGACATTACTTAGTAAAAAATATAAAACAATAATTCGATAATAGCCAAAAACAATAATCTAATATCATAATTAAAACCAACGTAATAATAAATATAAGGTTAAAATATACCACTTCTATACAGTTAATAGAATAAAATAATAAAATTAAAACAAAAAAAAAACAGAACAAAACTATAATTAAATTAAAATAATAATCTTACAGATGAACTTAAAAATAATAACTCATAAAAAATTAAATCCAAATAATGTATAATCCAATATCAAAATGACTTCTCAGTCATAATCTCATGCAAAATTATTCAAACCTATCTGAAATAAATAAGTAAGTCGAAAAAAGAAGAGTTGAAAATCATATCCAATTCATCAAAACAAGATGAAACAAATTTAATGAAGTTAAATTAAGTTAAAGTTTAAATTAAAATTAGCCTGTGTTTGTAATAATGTCTGACTCCTCACCAAACAACTAGAGTTACTGTATCGTTTTCCACCCTAGTTGGCATGGGTCATTGTTGTCGTGTGGCGCGCGATGCATTTGTTTGATTTAATACATTAATCCATTGATCTGTCTGATTTGATTTAATTATTCGCAACATTTTCATTCCACTAATTGAATTGTAAATACGTGTTATTATTTTCTAGATATGTTCGTTCGGTTTTAATTTTCATAATTATCCTGTTCTGTAACTAACCTTAACCCTTTGTTAAAACCAATTATGTCCTAAACTTTTTGTTATAACTAACTGATTGTATTTTAATCAACTTTATTGTAAGACTTTATTTTTAACCATTAAATAGAATACCAAATTTCTATAATCAATTCTAGAAGATGATGCACTGACGTGGGAAAATTGATTTGTGGACCCTTTGTTAAAAAAAAACAAATTATGTCTTAAACGTAATTTTAATCAACTTTATTATAATATTTTATCCTTAACCTATAAGTAGAAAACTAAATTTCTATAATCAAATAGATTATTTCTATAATCTAAATTTCTATTATCTATTGTAGAGATATTTTGTTTGTAGAAAACTATAAGTAGAAAACTAAATTTCTATAATCTATTTTTCTCTTTCTATAATTTAAATTTCTATAATCTATTGTAGAGATATTTTGTTTGCGTACTGCAAGATGATGCTCTGACCTCGGACCGTAGGAAAAATATAAAACTTCTAAAAAATGACTATTGTAAATTTGATTCACGATTTTTATTATGAAAGTAAACTAAATAGAAAATTAGAAAACTTTAAAAAGAAAAAACAACCTGGTAAATTCGATCGAGTTTGCAAAACAAAATATGCATTCAATATAGTCGGATTTGCGGTGCCCACACTCACACCATTGTTACATTTGAACAAATATATTAGATGACTATGATCCCATTATCAATTCTGGTTACTAGTGCAGTTGTTTTTCAGCACAAGAGATGACGTTCTTTGATTTAGTAGCTTCGTTTTCGTTTGTTGCTTAGATATTATCTTTTATGATTCCTTTTATGATATTGTTACAGACGTGAGATCGAGATTAGAACTAATAATTAGAAATTGCTTGTAAAAGGCGTAAATAATTAAAATGGTTGTAAATTCATGTGACACGGCATGTGACACATTTACAAGCAGCGGTAGTTTCTATATAAACAACGCAGATGCAAGATTCGAGAGATAGACAAAGAGAAAGACACACAGAGGGAGAAAATACGAGGAAAAGAAGAACGAGAATGAAGAGGTCAGAAGAAGTTTCAAGCAGAAAAAAAGTTCTATTATCGCAGAGATGTTTGCGTACTGCAAGCAAATTAGCGATAGTGCCCGAGGAAAAGTTTATCACGAATTCTACATGCGGTCTGCGAGTGAATTATTATAATCTTCCAAGAAGCGAATACTGAAGATTAACGGCCAAGAAACATCTGGCGAGAGAAGCTTATTTATTTAAGATTTGTTTATTTCGTTATTTACCTGTTGATTATTTATTGTGTTGTATTCTAACGATTTTAACGATTGAATAAACGAATAAACATCTGACAACGAACAAGAAAACGAGAAAACGAACAAGGTTCAAATTTTAGTGGGACGAACAACAGGAATTCGTCCTTGTTTGACATGCAACAAATCATGCAGATGCTCGCCGTAATGAAACAAGCGAAAAGCAATTTGTTGAAATGACGGCCAAGATCGATCAGCGGGTAGCCGTAATAAGACAAATGAAGGCCAAATTACAAGCGACCAATGAAATAACACGATCAACGTATGAGACTAACAAAGAGACTATACCAGAAACGGCTACACAAAAGTCGGCAATTATTATACCAGCGAATTCACCTACGGATGATGTCGACTGTGACCCACGTGAAAACTGTGACGCACGTGACAACTACGACGCACGTGTTAACTGCTATACACGTGGTATCTGCGAAGCACGTGACAATTGACAATTGGTAAGTAATCGGCAGATTGACTGACGAAAAGAACAAGTTGAATGAACACAAAATCAAATGATTCTAACGACGAAAAGGTGAGCAAAGATAAGCCGGACAGACTTGAAAAGGATCTGAATAAAAAAACAACAGATAGATATATTCCGAAGAATAAAGGTCATAGTCATCAATAGGAAATTAAAGAGATTGAAAGACCGAAACAGGAGCAAACAGATGGGATGAAAGAACGGGAATCTGAAAATGAAACAGATACGCAGAAAGTTCCAAATAAAGACAGAAAAAGGAAAAACAGTTCATAGGTAATTTCACCATATCATTAAAAAAGTTTGAAAATAAAAGTCTAGATAGACCGAATGAACTGCAAGATAAAATTGAAGAACCAAAGAGCGACTCGAAAAAGAAAGATGATTACACTGATGAACAGAGCGCACAAATTGATGACCTTCAACTAATTACGAGTCGAATGCATGCAGAACATGAGTGGAAGAATTGGGATGGGTCGTGCCAAATCACCATCTGGACCAACGATGGAAGATCAACAGAGCGAAGGGAATTGACCAAATCGAGGACGATTTTTGGTCTCAGTCATGTTAGAGACGTTAGATCGAGATAAGAACTAATAGTTAGAAATTGCTTGTAAATTAATTACAAGGCGTAAATAATTAAAATGGCTGTAAATTCATGTGACACGGCATGTGACACATTTACAAGCGGATCGGTAGCTATGTAAAAAACGCAAAAGCAAGATTCGAGAGAGAGACAGAGAGAGACATACACAGGGAGAAAACACGGAAAAAAGAAGTACGATAATTAAGAAGAGGTCAGAAAAAAAGAGTCCTTTTATCGCAATGATATTTTGTTTGCGTACTGCAAGCAAATTGGTGATAACGCCCAAGGAAAAGTTTATCACGCGGTCTGCGAGTGAATTACGATAATCTCCCGAGAAGCGAATACCGAGGATTTACGGCCAAGAAACATCTGGCGAGAGAAGCTTATTTATTTACGATTAGTTATTGTCCTGTATTGTAACGATTGAATAAATAAGTGATTGATCACGGCAATACACGCAAGTGATTGCCAACACTGTTTTCTTTCTGATAAAGTCCATCTGAAATAAGTCTGTTCAGTAGTCAATAATCCACGTAGAGAGAAATAACTATATCCTACATGTTCAAGTGATTGGTTATAACAATGTTTTCATCATGTTTGAAAGCGCTTGACATATGATTCATAATATATTATTAGGTTTTTTTGTTTCTATTGTTGGTTGCATTTTTGTTGTTGCTGATTATTTGTTCTTTGCGTTCTATTATTTTCTATATCATGGAATTTTTATATCCATTGGTATGACGTCGACCAAGTTATCGAGAAGACTCACGATGCACGTACAAACTGACGCTATAAAAAATCACTCAAAAGAGAAATACAAAACTGAAATTACTATAAAAATCTTGGACCACAATGTTGAAATTATACATTACAATAATAGCCATTATAATTTACGACTAGCCAAATCAATACTCATAGAACAAAGACATCCGATAATAAATATTTAACAATGTGCAATTGGAATCCTTCCTACTAATAAATTTAAAAATAGAGGAATCATCGATAATGAGTACACGTAAAAGTGTTATATTGGACGAAGTTGAGGATTGTAAAACTAATTAAATGAGCGTTATGTATTCACATTGAACAAACAAGGAATCAAAGTAGAGTTACAAAGTGTATGCATATTTGAGCATCTGGCCAAATACACAACTTATCAATTCGAACACAGAAAATGGTATAGGAATATTCAAAAAAGTTTTTTTGATTGCCAGCGTTAGAAGAACTCAATATAATTAGTCTGAGGAAAGAACTACAACAAAGAAACTTCGGCTCGAAAAGAGCAAAAGCAGTTTCGATAAACCGCCAAAGGGACGCCTAATAAAAAAATCAATTAATCCAGATAAATGGCTACACAAGAGTCTGAAATTATTCAACCAACATATTCACCTACGGATGACTTCGACCGCGATGCATTAGTCAACAACGACGCACTTATTATCTTGACAACTGCGACGCACTTATTATCTTGACAACTGCGACGCTCTTAACTTGACAACTGCGACGCACGTTAACTTGACAACTGCGACGCACTTGTTAACTTGACAACTGCGACGCACTTGTTAACTGCGTTGCGTACGTTGATGAGGATGATGACGAAAACGACAATGAAGGTCTTGAAAATAGTTTAGAAGTTGACAGTGATAAAGACCCTAACCCTAATTTGCCTGTTTTTACTGATAACAAGAACAGCTTTAACCTGAAAATTAATAACGTCAGTGATTTTAATGTTCATGCGAATTGGGGACATGATGTTTCTAGTTTTCAAATGACGCCTCCAACATGCACCTGGAGGAAAAGCTTGGTTCTCGTCAATCTGGATGATGGCTTCAACGACGGCTTCATTGCCGACGAAGATGAGTTTTGAATCACTGATCGACAGCAAAGTTTTTGTCCGGAAGATTTTTCCAGAGTTTTCATCTGGAGTTTTTTGCTATAGATTTGTCTGATTTTTGTTCGAAGATATTTTTGAAAACAAATCGAAAATAAAAAAAATATAAATAAGTAAAAATTCATCATACTCGATTTTAACGTCTGCCATTATATAATAGTTAAATTAAATATAAGACTAAATAATTTTTGTTGATTTTTAGATGTGATATTTCAAAGATTTTTGAAGTTGGGCATTCCTAAAAATCATGTTATAATATTGGCATCGTTTGATGAAGCTTCACTACAGTTTAGTGATATTTTTCAGTTTTTAAATTTGCGTTTTCTTTAGAAATAATTGCGCAGTGTGTGGTGAATTTATGAAACTATTTATGTGGTGAATTGTTTTATCATTTACAGACGTGAAAAATATTAAAAATTCATAATTTTCTTAAATGAACCTGTTTAATAATTAAAAATCGTAATATTGAATATAAGTATGTTATTTTTATTAGTTTTTTTTACTTTTGGCATAAGGTTTTAAAAGATAAAGGTCAATCTTAAAAACCTTCGGTCTTATTTGTCCATATTCTTTATTCAATTTCAGTTTATCCCAGGAAAGCAAAGCTTTGATCGGTTTATATGGCAGCACTTTGATAAAAGAAATTGGTTTTAGAGATTCTTTTGTAATGATTGGACAGAAATATTTAATTCCACCTTCGAAAGCTGTTGAACAGGTTAATAGAGAATTTTGTTAGGGGTTTTTGTAATTCGTTCTCTTTCTTTATCTGTTATTCGTTCTTATTCTTTATCTTTCGATAACTTGTTGCTGAAATTATTTTTTTTTTTGTATAATGTTTTTTCATTTAAATGTTTGTTTTTTGCAATATCTTATTTTACTTTTTATTTATATTTTTAAGCTTTTTTAATTTCAAGTTTCTAAAATGCATTCAAAGTTTTTTCATGTTGTTGAAAAAGGGCTTTCGAGCATGTTTAAAATGGCGATGTTTTTGCTTTTAGAAATGACGGTCTTCAGGAGTTGTGGCAGAGTTGTGCTTATAATTCAGAAAGACTATATCCATTATCTTCTTAAACAGGAGGATTTTTATTGACTCAACTGGATGTGTCGACATTTTTGGTTTGAAGAATTTGGAAATTTTTGCGGGCGGCTGAAAATTATTTTTTTTTATATAAAAATAAAAGACCAAAATTTTGGAATCAATAGCTCTCATGGCTTATTGTAAACATCATTTTTTAGTTTCTGAAGCGTATTTTATTAATTTTCCAGCTAAATTTAAAGCTAAATTTTTAATTTACTCTTTTTGGCATACTGTATCACATCTTAGCTCATGGCAATGGTATTGTTAGTACGGGCGTTCTGTTACTAACGTGACACCTTGTTGTGAAGTAAAATAATGAAAACAAACACACTTCAGGCGTTAAAAAAATGTTACTTTATTCTAACGTGAATCTCGAACCGTCTCGTTTACAAGCTCTCAGGAAAAAGAAGGAAGCTCGAGAGAGAAGCAAAGAAATAAAAATTAACACAGATTAGGTAACATTGAAAATCGCTATAATCATTAATAATAATTAATATATAAGATAGTTAATAAATGAATGTTTGATCCCTACAGTATGTTTACGTGAATTTTGTTACGTCAGCAACCATTGTGATTGCAACATTTAAAATAAAAACAAAAACATTGTTCTGCTTTTTCAAGTACATACTTACATCATCACGTTGCCCATGTCAATCAATTTGTATATGAAGCTACAGACATTAGCTTTTTTTGAATCATGATATCTCATAATCCTGAAATTCAGAAAAGAAACGGCGCATAAATTTTTATTGAAATTTGTCAACGAAATTTTTGGCATTTATAAAAAAGTATTTTTGGGAATGGAATTTTAGAAAATTCGGAATCACTTGAATGTAAGCTAAATGTTGACGATTTTTTCAACAAACCTATTTATGAAGCGTGCAATATAACATACATTACTAGCATGGACATATTTACAATTTAATCATACATAAATAGCATCATTAAAATTACGAAATAATTGATGTGATTGAGATGTCATGTTATTAAGACCTTGAAACGTCTTATAATAATAATAATTTTGGCATTTATAAAAAAGTATTTTTGGGAATGGAATTTTAGAAAATTATAATAATAATAATAATAATATTATTATTAAAAATTTATTTTTTATTCAGTTTCAGGAAATAGTCAACCAAACAAATATTAATTAATTAATAAATACATAATAATAAAATAAGGACAAAATTTTTTTTAATAATTTAAACATGTATTATTATTTATGTATGTATTAAAGTTAAGATAGAAATACTTGCCGAAATACACAGTTGTCAATCCACGACTTTTTTGAACACTTCCTAAGTGCCGGCTTCACAAACATCTAACGGCAGCATGCTCAGACGACACACGTTCTGCTATGTTGATCTTTTGCCGTCACAAATTTCTATTTCTGACGATTTCTATTCGTTCATTTCGACCTAGATTTTAGCATTTTATTATAGGCCGATAACTGTAAGCGAGACTGAAACACGCTTGGCTAAAAATGTTTGGGCATCGACTGTTGATACATTTGAAGGCCACACGTGATTTTAAAGATTACATACATGCTAACGCATTGGCATCCAATGTAGGCCAACAATTCGTCACATAATGACGTTTTGCAAAATCCAAATTGTCTAACATTTAGTTCTGTAGCCGCTTTATCACATCGTTTACACCAAAAATCTTAATTTAATCTATAAACCTTTTTTAAATTTATTTTCTAATGTTAATTCAATATTCTATTAGCTTGTGAAAAGGAACGATGGAGAAATGTATGCTGCAGAAGCTGTTATCCAAGGATGTATAAATATACCATGTTAGTTTATAATTAATCTGTTTATTTTACCTAATGTTTTTACTAATGTTGACGGGTTTATAGTCTTTGAATTTCGCATGGACAGTGTTCGAACCATGCCATCGTGTAATAGCACCGCGAAACATAGCACTTTCTCCGACAGAGCTAACTTGATTTTTCATATTTGAAATTAGTTTTTACCAAACGCCATCACTTAATACTAGTTCATACCAGAAAAACGCGTTTTTGCGATGTGAGTTAGTTATGTGAGTTAGTTGAAACTATCCGACCGAAGTTAAAATCGGAAAACGCGTGATTTTTTACTTGGAAAAATATTGAAGATTTTTGAAAATAATTAGTAAAACATATTTATTTAGTGTATATTTAGTTTAGTTAAAATTTTTTTTTCAGTTATAACATATGATTTGAAAATGATGAAGTGCTTTGGTTAATTAGGGGCGTAGTTAAATTTTAAGTTCTTCAATCGCGAAATTTTATACATATGTTTTCATGTGAGTAATGAATATATACACATATATTGGATTATCAGACGTTATCTGTATTATGTTTCAGTTAATATGATGTTTTAATCCATTTTTTGAAATTATGAAAAAACTGTACGTGATAGAAAAAAAATGATTACATATTTGAAATCAGCTTATTGAAATCTGTTAGAAACAATTTTCACTTTTTAAATAATAATAATAATAATAGATTCTTTTTTAAAGCGCCAGCGCAAGCAACCGAGACGCCCCCGGAATCAAGAAATTCACAATCAACCATGGCGATATTAGCCCAATGATAAGAAACAAATAATAAAAACAAAATTAATTAAAATTCTAATTGTTGTTGAATTAATGTAATAGAAATTAAAAGCAGCATGCAAAAAATATAAAATTTATTATCGTTTAAAAGCTAAATTGAAATAATGAGTTTTCAAAATAGGAAGAAGAAGCGGCAATTTCTGATGTCTGGAGGCTAAGAATTCCAGACAATTACAGCAGCTTGACGAAATGCTCATTTACCAATGTTGATTTAAGTAATATTTTGAAAAAGAACCGGTGCATTGCCAGAGCGAAAATGTTGATTATTGATATTTAGATCAAGAAGACTATCGAGATACGGCGGCGAATGGAATGACAACAACTTAAAAACAATGATGGCGATTTTAAACTGGACACGGTAATGAAAAAGTGGCTAGTGAAACTTTTCAAATTCGATGATGCAGATGTTGGACGATTTGGTGGTGTATCAATACTCAGTACAACTCTGATTCAGCCTCTCTGTTTCCTGCTTTGGAGATATGCCAAACATTACTGAACTACAATAGTCGAGCCTGGACAATATTAAACAATGTACCAGATTCCTAGCAGATCGATTGATAAAAATTGTTTGATGTGACGTAGTTCTTTGATAGGATAATTACAGGCTTTAGCAATAGATGTAAATGATCCAAAAAACTTAGTTTTTTGTCTAAGTCAAGTGTCTTCAAAGGATATCACCACTACCAACTCTGATTGATGTCATGTCTTTTAACTTTTTGATTGAGTGAAATGAGCTCAATATAGTGAAATCTGTTTTGAGTTGAATTGAAGATTATTGAGAAGAAACCACCTCTCCATTGCAGCGATGGAGAGTGACTATTATTTAATTATTTAATGACTATTCAATTCAGAGTTGGTGTCCAATGAGATGAAAAGTTGAGTATCATCAGCATATTAATGGTAGCATACTTTGTACCTATTGATGATCTTATGAGTAGGCTAAATATGTGACGTTAAAAGTAAAAAACCAAGACCGAACTTTGGGGTACTCCATGTTGAAGTTAAATTCTAGGTGACACATATTCTAATAATTTGACGAATTGACTACGGCCAGACATTAGGATGAGTGCCAGGACAAGGCATATCCCTCCACAACGAAATCCTCGTTTAAATGTTTTAATGTTTGTATCATCGACAAGTCCAGCCCAGCAAGAATTGCTGCTTGTTTACTGTACAGGAGTTGAACACATGGTCAAGCATGTGAAACAGAGTTGTCTCGGTGGAGTGACATTTACGGTAAGCTGACTGGAAAAGAGTGAAATTTGGATGTTGAGATATGTATGGCTGTAACCTTCTTAGTTCTGCCCGTTCAATAATTTTGGAAATGTTAGATAGATTTGATATCGGTCTGTAGTTGGATGGACCAGATTTATCCAAATTCGGTTTTTTTATGAGTGCAGTTTTAAAGCTGTCAAGAAACTGGCTGTGAAATGAGAGATTCGTTAAGATGGAAATGGCCGTAGATCGGGTAATGATGCAATTCGTTAACACTTGATATGAAAATGATCCACTAGTGATGTTTTATTGCATGAGGATTTGATGATGCTTTTGATCTCATCAGGTGTGACATCATTAAAAAACCCGAAGCAGTAACATTATCCAAATAAGCATCACCTGATGAAACCATGTTGTGTTATGTTTTTATATTTCCGTTACATGGTCACTGTGCTTACCAAAGGAGAGAACACCGGATGGTCACGTGGGTTAGTTACTAGCCTAAAGTACGAGCGCTTACCTAGAGGAGAGCGCCGTGCAAGTCTATAAATAGCCGGCACAAATGAGTTAAGCTCTTTTTTCTGTCGCTCTTGTGCCGGAGTTGATATTAGTAAAGTTGGTTATTTTCTCGTGTAATTCTCGTTAATTTGATTTACTCGATTAATTAAATAGTTAGGTTGTAATAAAGGAAAATTAATAATATTTCGGTTGTTGCGTTTTAACTAATATCGAACCCGTTACAATTATTGATCTTTTTGATGAAATAATCATTAGAGTTATTGACCAATGATGAAGTTTCAAAACTATTAAGGCAGGGTTTGTTGTTATTCCTGTGTAAAAGTTTATTTAGGTTGCGCCAAGTGGCACGCAAGTTGATCGATTTGTCGAGCTCATTTCTCAAGGAATCTGGATTTAAGGACCAACTCCCGGGCCAAATATTTGGCATTGTCATAATTTAGTTTATTAATTATAGATTTGTTGTTTATGTATACACGCTCCGTTTTACGCCTGTATCTTTACCATTACGGGCGTCATTTAATATGTGGTTGCACCATAGACGTCTTAAATGAAGAACTGACGGCGTTCAATCTCGGGTCCACGAACTTGGGTCGATCAGTATTTTCCGTACTTTTTGCTGTAACTTTGTCAAAAGTGGTCCATTTGTTAAATTTTGTATATTTTATTTTTGTTTCTTCTTCTTTAACTGAACATTAGCA